ATTCCCAGTCAGGGCACATGCCTGGGTTGCAGGTTTGGTCCCTGGTCAGGGCTCATAGAAGGAGAAACTGATAGATTTTTTTTCTTTCTCCCATTGATGTTTCTCTCCCTCTCTCCCATCCTTCCCCTCTAACTAAAAATCAATTTTAGAAAATGTTAATGAAAGTAAGAGCTACTTTTTCAAAATAAATAAGGCAAATAGACAAACCTGTAGCTAGACTTACCAAAGACAAAGGGTACTTAAGAAAATTAGCGATGAAGGAGGAGACATTACAACTTATGCCATATAAGTAGAAAGGATCATAAGAGACTACCCTACACAATTATATGCTCACAAATTGGAAAACCTAGAAGAAATGGATCAACTCCTACAAACAACCTAATAAGACCGAGTCGTGAAGAAACAAAATATGAAAAGACCAATTACTAGTAAAGAGATTGAATTAGTAATCAAAAGCTTCACAGAAAGAAAAATCTGGACAAAGAGAGACTCACGGAGAACAGATGACAGCTAGTGTTGGGGGGAGAGGTGTAGGGGGTGGGGGAACTGAGCAAAAGGGAAAAAGGACTCATGGACATGGACAACAGTGTGGTGATCATTGTGGGGAGTGGGTATAAGGGGACTAAATGGTAGTGGGAAAAAACCATAAAGACTGAATAAAAAAAGAAGCAGCATCCAGGACCAGTTGGCTTCACTGGTGAATTCTATCAGATATTTAAAGAACAATTAACACCAATCCTTCTCAAACTCTTCCCAAAGTACTGAAGAGCAGGAAAAACTTCCAAACTCACTTTACGAAGCCACATTACTCTGAATCCAAAACCAGAAAAGGGCACTGCAAAAAAAATTACACGTTAATATTTCTAATGACTATACATGCAAAAATTCTATAAAATATTAGTACACAAAATTCAATGGTACATTTAAAAGATCATACACCATGATAAAGTGGGATTTATTCCAGGGATGTAGGGATGTTTTAACATATGTAAATCAACCAATGTGATACCCTACATTAATAAAATGAAGGATAAAAATCACATTGATCCTTTCGATTGGTGCAGAAAAAGCATCTGACAAATTCGACATCTATTCATAATAAAAAATCTCAACAAACTGGGTATATACCTCAACATAATAAAAGCTGTATATGACGAGCCCACAGCTAACCTCATACTCAATGGTAAAAAGCTAGAAGCTTTTCCTCTAAGATCAGGAACAAGATCAGTATAACCATTCTTGTCACTTTTATTCAAGACAGTACTGGGAATTCAAGCCAGAGCAATTAGGCAAGAGACAGAAACAAGAGGCATTCAATCAGAAAGGTAACAGTAAAGCTATCTGGAGAAGACATGATATTGTATATAGAAAACCCTAAGACTCAGCCAAATAACTGTTAGAGTTAATAAATCAATTCAGTAAAGTTGCAGGATACAAAAACAATATACGAAAGTCTGTTGCATTTCTATACACAAGCACCAAACTATCAGAAAGAAATTAGGAGAATCCCATTTACAAGTGCATCAAAAACAATAAAGTTCCAGGAATTTAACAAAGGAGGTGAAAGCTCTATATACTGAAAACTATAAGACACTGATGAAAGAAAGCAAAGTTACAAATAAATGGGAAAAATATTGTGTGTCCATGTAGTGAAAAATTAATACTACTGAAAGCAATGCAATCCTTACCAATGTTTCACTGTCACGTTTCACCAAAAAAATCTAAAATTCATATGGAACCACAAAAAGCCCAAATAACTGAAGTGATCTTGAGGAAACAGAGCAAAGGTGCAGGTATCGCACGTTCTGATTTCAACCTCTATTGCAAAGCCATATAGTAACAAATAGTATGGTTTCGGCATAGAAACAGACACACAGATCAAGGGAACAGAATAGAGAGCCCAGAAAAAAACCTGTGCATATATAAAGTAATTTTTGACAAAGGCTCAAAGTACAGTCTCTTCAGTAAACAATGTTGGGAAACTGGACAGCCACATGCAAAAGAATGAAACTGCACCGCAGTTTTACTAGTCACACAAATCAGCTCAAAGTGGATTAAAGACTTGAACATGTGACCTGAAAAAACCATAACACTAGAAGAAATGTAGGTATAATAAACTCCTTGACTTTGGTCTTGGCAATGATTTTGTTGCATTTGACATCAAAAGCAAAGTTAGCAAAAGCAGAAATAAACAAATAGCCCCATACCCAAAAAGCTTATGCACAGCAAAGGAAAGCAGGGAGAAGAACTAGAGCAGGGAGGGAGGAAGAGAGGGCAGGGAAAGAAAAGGAAGGTAACTAACCAAATGGGATAAATTATTTACAAATCATATGTCTGATGAGGGTTAATATCCAAAATACACAGAGAACTCATAAAACTCAAAAGAAAAATATCTGAAAAATGGGCAGAAGATCTGAAGAGAGACTTTTCCAGATACGTATGAAATGGCCAACAGGTTCATGAAAAGGTGCTCAGCCTCACTAATCATCAGGGAACCACAATGAGATATGACCTCAAACCTGTTAGAAAGCTGTCATTAAAAAGACGAGAGAAATATTCATCAGGATGCGGAGAAAAGTGAACTCGTTTACACTCTCAGCAGATGTATAAATTGATGAGGCCACTATAACAAACAGTATGAAGGTTCCTCAAAAAACTAAAACTGCCTTATGATCCACTGCAAAAAATCCACTTCTGGCTATATACCTGGTGAAAATGAAATCATTATCTCAAATAGATACCTGCACCCCTATGTCCACTGCAACGTGATTTATAATGGCCAGGACATGAAACAATGTGAGTGTCCATCGACAGGAGAACAGATAAAAACAACATGGCATTCACATATGGAATAAAATATTATTCAGCGATAAAAGAGAAGAAAATTCTGCCATTTCCAGCAACATGCATGGACCTTGAAGCATTATGCTCATGGATATAAGTGGGGCACAGAAGGACAAATATTGTAGGATCTCACTTATATGTGAAATCTAAACAGATTTAACTCATAGAAACAGAAGGATTGGCAACTTCCAAAGGTGAAAGGTGAACATGGAAGGTGAGAGAAATGGGCGAAAGGGATCAAAAGATAAAACCTTCTAGATGTGAGCTGAGTAAGTCCCCAGGGATGTAAAGTATGGCATGGGGACCTTGGTGAACAACACTGTATCACAAATTGGAACATTGCCAAGAGTGAATTTTATAAGTCCCCATAACAAGAAAAAAGCTTTTATAACTATGTGAGGTAAAATATGCTAACTAAATATACTGTGGTCATTTAACAACATACACGTATATAAAGTCATCACTGCGCACTTTGATACATGATTAAATGTCAATTATATCTGAATCAAAACGAAGAAAAGAAAAATATATCACCACGACCTGTTTGATCCAGCAACCCCATCCATTTGGAAAAGCTGGCCGTGCTGCGGTGGTCCCCTTACGCACGCAGACACACTCCAAGACCCTGGTGGATGTCTGAAACCGTGGACAGCACCAAACCCTATACACACTGTGTTCCTGCCTATTAAGACATGCACTGTACTTCTTCTCTGGAGAATCAGAATTATCAGTGCCACTACTTTCGTGCTTTCAGGCCATTACTAAGTATTTAACAAAACAAGGGTTACCTGAACACAAGCACTGAGGTACCACATCAGTGGCTCTGACAACCGGGATGGCTGCTGAGTGACTACAGAGAGGGCAGCCACGCACAGTGGGACCTGCTGGACAAAGGGATGATGCATTCTAGGCAGGACAGAATGGGACGGGGCGGGGGGAGGGGGGGTGGGAACTGCGAGATTTCATCAGGCTACTCAGAACAGTGTGCAATTTTAAACTTATAAATGGTTTATTTCTGGAACTCTCCACATATTTTTAACCAAGGTTGACCACAAGTAACTGAGACAGAATTCCAAACTGGATAAAGGGAACTACTGCATTCGTATCTATGCTACCGCTGCCTACTTAGAGTTACTTGAACTATACCAATAACAGAAGGGTGTTAAAGTCTCTAGCAAGACAAATCAAAAGAAGAAGGGATTTTGAATACTTAGGCAAATGAGAAAGTTTCTTAAAAAAATATATATATATATATGTATAAACACACACATACACTTTGAGATGTGACTGAATAAGAAATTAAAAGCTTGAATAATCCTGTGACAACTAAAACATATTAAAGCAGTTGTTAAAAATCTTCCCACAAATGTGAGATTAGATTATATAAACAGTTATAAGAATATATTTTTTGGCAATCAGGAGGAAGGTCAGAACTAATACACATCAATATGATATCAGAACATGTAAAATAGAAAAACAACTATGATACAAATTGTAAAGAATAAAATAAATAATAATACGCTGAATATCTGTGTGTCAACAAAAGCTGTTGCCGTTCTGAACGGCCCAGCTGGCAACCTGCCCAGCATGGGCGGCTCACGGGCACGTGGGCCAGGACCTTCTTCGGGGCAGAGGTTGCCCCCAGCAGAGCGGTCACTGCTCACCTTCTCCAGGAAGAAAGACACCTTTGCTGCTGGCTTTTATGGAAATAAACAAATTACAACATAGAAAATAAGGAAATGGAATAGAAATAAATTTGTAAAGCTTGGGGATGTAAAACTACTACTTCTAAAGAATTCTAGAAATTCAAAGTTTATGTCCATTTTTAAAAAATTTCTATTTATTTAATTCTAGAGGGGAAGGGAGGGAGGAAGGGAGGAGGAGAAGCACTGATGTGAGAAAGAAACAATGGCTGCCTCACCTATGTGCCTCACCTGGGCACTGAGCCCACAATTCAGTCATGTGACCTGACCAGGACTTGAACCAGTGCCCTTCCAGGATGTAGGATGAGGTTTAGTGGCCGAACTAGCTGCCCAATGGGAGTACAAACCTCTTCCCACATGTATGTATCTCTTCCTTCAGTAGCAGCATTGCAAAAACTAACCTCACTGACTGAACCACTGGAACAAACTTCAAAAGGAACTTCAACCACTCACCTGGATACAAGCCAGGGGCTCATTTGTCCAAATCGAATATCCACCAACTAAATATATTCTCTCATTATGGACAGCAACTCCAGATTCATTTTGGCCTAAAGTAATGAGAATTGAATAAAAATAAATAAATAAATTCATTTCCTTGCATGTTTTAATTAACCCTTTTACCACTGACGGATACAATCCCCCCTGAGGCAGACTTGTGTACTCCAGAGGATTTGTGCAGCAACTAATCACTGCCTCCCAGAATTCAGAGGGAAGACTTAGGCACCATTTCTCAGAGAGCGAATCTGTGTTAGATCAGAACCAGGCCATGACACTTATTGGCTAGCCACATTAGTAAATACAGCATGAAATGCAGTAATAATAAGCCACTTAGAACTAAGAGTTTTATATTGTTATATGCCATACATTTATCGTGGTGGAAATAAGGATATTTTAGAAATGCAAAACACCTCTTGTACTACAAATGTTTTTGAAGCAAGTGTTTACATTTGTAAAGTAACAGCTGCAACCCCAAGAAACCAATAAAATGGAGCCATGCCCCTAGTGTGCCCCAAATGAAGACAAATGACAAAAAAGATAAAGTTACTCCCCTCCCTTTCTTTACATACACAACAGTTTTAAGACTATATTAAAGTCCTGAGCTGGGACCAGCCTGCACAGTCCCCAGATACTGACACGCCAACATGATGAAAGGTTCCTTCCCCATTTAAAAAGAAGACAGAATAACTCACTAGCACATATTCTTCCCTGGAGGCCATCAAAGAGTGAGATAGTCTCTTTTTATTGATGGGCCGACACAGGATTGACTCTCCTAATAAATAAGCTGCATCCTATAGCAGAGAGAAGCACGGATCCAGGGGCCGAGGGGCCCGGGTACCACGACAGCAACTTAGTTAAGTCCTTGTAGGTGGGCCTCAAGAATCATTTTTGCAAAAACAGCAGTTCAGTACAAAACACCCGAACCTCTCACGTTAGTTACGCGCTCAGTGGTGGCTTCCCAGCAGCACTGGTGGGTGAGGGAGTGCCCACTCAGCATATTAAACTGTCCTCAGGCCCTAGTCCCCCTCAACATTCTGAGTTTGATTTTCCTGTTACTAGATCAGCCTGGAAGGGAGCCGGTCACTTGTGGATGCTAATAATGCAAGCTGACAAGGAAGAAATAGTTTTCAACTCTGTAAAGGAACGTCAGGGATTAAGCTGTTCACTGCTTCCCTTTCATTCCCTTTTGGGATGAGGACAGCCCATCCCCAGTGCAGCCCGTCATAAGGCTGGGATGGGTGCGTGTGGCTAGAAATGCCACCAAACCTCTATGCACAGAACTGCTCTAAGGTTTAGTCTTTAAGAAAAAACAGCCAAGAAACAATATTCAACAGTGACAAGCAATGAAGATCATTCCCTGGAACTCACAAGAAATGAAGAGTAAAAGTAATGAGAAGTAAAAAATAAATTGCTTCTATAAGGAGTCGTGGACTCCTTCAGCACCTGGTTCCTCCTACTCGTAGCCAGGTTCCTGTGAGAATATACTGACAGCAGTGGATTGGACGTGCCTCCCCCAGCTGCACAAGGACATGCACAGAACAGAGGTCACAGGCCCTGAGAAACTACATGCTCAGCCACCTGGTTGAGTAAAACTTTGTGATAAAAATGACGCGCACATTTCTAGTTCATACAAGCAAGTTGTCCTATCACCCTGCCCTTAATATTTAGAGAGGGAGCTTCTGCCTTTCCTGATTTACAGAATCAAAGTACTTGCCAGTCAGCAGGTTGAAACTGCAGCGCGTCCACTGGTCGGTGTCTATGTTGTAGGAATCTATGTGCCGCACGAGGATCCGGTCGTTGTTGTAGTCCAGGTCATTGCCTCCCAGGACGTAGAGCTTCCTGTGGACAGCAGCCATGGAATGGTAGACCCTTCTCTGCAGCATGGGGCTGCGGCTTATCCACTTATTCTGAACAAGGAAATGCAGGTGAATTCTGTTAACAGGAGAGCTTCATGGCAGAGAACAGCTGTGCCTTTTTAGTAGTGGGGATCCTATGTGTCAATCACCTTCTATTTAAATGTTGTTTATATACTTTGAAAGGTACGGTCGTCTTGCCCGAGAACGAGTGCAGAAACACCCACGTGTTCCGACTCCGTTTTTCACTTACATGAGGCACTTCTTGGTTGGGTTGCATTTTATAGGGCAGTTTGCATTTATAAGGGGAGCATATGAAATGTAGAAATTGAGGGAACTTACTCATGCAAATTACTTAAGAGAGAAAGTGCACAACTGGGTATACTGTCTACGGTGCTGTGGTGATTAAGAAACGGGAACCAGGGTCTGCGTTTAGAAGGCCTGGATTGACAGCCTGTATGTGACCATGAGCAGCACCCTCAGTCTCCTTGTGCCCTTTCCTCCTCCGTGAGACGGGGGTCATAACGCCTACCTCACAGGCCTGCTGTGAGGGTTAAATGAGCTAATACATGTAAAGCATTTAGAATAATGCCTGACACACAGTGTTCAATAAATAGACACTTTTTAAAAAGTTCTGTGATAAATCCCTGGCTACCCAAGGCCCTGCATCAGCTGCGGTGAGGGCGGCTCTGCTGTTCTGTCAAAGATTAACCTCTTGAGACCAATGGGCAACAAACGCCTTCACTGCTTTTGTATCAGCCTCCTTTAATATACTTAAAATCACATTTTCTGCCAAACTGAGAAAAGTTATTTCTAGGCATATGTTTGTTTGAGTAGAAGGCTTCGTTTTATATAACTTGGGGGAATATTTGGCTCTAGGTTACTTGTGAAAGGAGCGAGGACCCCTCTAACAACAGCATTCCTATTTAAAAATATGTAAAATTAGGTAAAAATAAAATATGGCTATAATTTTAAATTTCAACTAAGTAATGGACAGGTATGTAAACCTAACCATTTCTTTCTACATAAACATAAAATATGAAGGGACAACCCAAGACTACTTTTTGCCAAGAAAAACTTGGATTTCAACTAGAGGAGAAATCATATGACATTTTGAATACATAGAATTTCACCAGTTCACAAAGCTATAAAGGAAGAAGGAAAAGTGGTTTGTATTGGTCCACTGACAAAAGGCATATCTGCCAGCTCATTTCTAATTTCTTTAATTTTAAAGATACACTTGAGAAAAAGAGAAAAATGAAAGTGGCTTATACAATTTGAAACACATTTATCTGCTTCTTTTTCATCATGTCATAATAAGAATCCCCTTCCAATTAAATGTCTTCTTTAAGAAAACAGTCACCCTTTTCTTTCAGGTACTCTGCTAAGAAATATCTTCAACACACTACAGATGAGTGGGTTTAACTCAAAACTCTGATGCTAGTTTTCTTAGGATGCTTTCTGTGCGGCAGCCCTTACATTAGCAGTCCGGTCCCCTGCCCTGGGACTGTAGACTCCATCTGGTTTGCAAAGCCTGCCTGCATCCCCTGATTATATCTTTAGCTTCCTTCACTGCCGTGCCTGCCAGGTGAGCTGACAACCGCTGCAAAGGCAGAGAAACAGAGAGGGCTGGTGGGGTCGTTCCTAATAAGCTAGCATGTGAATACTAATCAGTGGTGGGGAAGCAGAGGTCACCCCAGCCTGCCTGTTGGCAGGTAGGGATGTGCTCTGTGGCAGATGGCAGGCATTATCGACTCTCCACAAAGGCCTGGAAGAGAAATAAGCACCAGGGCTGAATGATAGAATTATTGAGATTCTGAGCAAGATGCAAGCAGATGTGATGTTTGCCAGGACCCAGTGTAAACAATACGCCGGCAGAATTTTAAAAAAGAGCATGTGTGTACAAACATGAAACAGAAGTCATTTGAGAAATGTTAACACCTTCTTCCTCTTTAACCACATGTGCACTGAACTCCAGCAATTGCAATTAATGATCCCTCTTGAGACATCTGGCCCATGGACATGTGGTCTCAGAAATCTACAGCTTCTGAAGACATCAGGAAACATACTTGTAAAGGCAGAGATAGCTTTGTTAAATTCAGAATTAAGTAATTGTTAAAATAAAAAGATTCCAAACAAACTGAGGTCACTTTGGACATACATTTGGTGGCTAACCCCAAACCAGGCAGCCAACACCAACCTGTTGTTTTGTGTTCCACGACCTTCAGCTGATAAATATTAAATCCCCAAATTAAATCATTTGGAATATTGTCATAATCATGAAAACCATTTATAGTACCAAAATCATAGAAATAGCATCTATCAGCAAATATGTGCCAAAGTCACAGACATTTTGGCAGAAGAAAGGAGAACAAAAAAATAATTCTTCTTTGGGGGAAAAAAGACACTATGTGTGCATGAGAAGTGGACGGAGGAGGCACAGGCCACCTCAAAGTGCTTCTGGTTCTTGACCTAGCTCTCAGACGAAGAATGAACTTTTCGGATACTTCTACTTTGTACTTGTCCGAGACACTGTTGTAGGACATTCTGGCTATCATGAGTTAAATAAAAGCTATTTTATTTCAGAATAATGAAACCATAGCATACCCCCCCCAGCCTTCTCCCCGACCCCTGGAATGGCATGCCCTCTAAGAAGACACAGCAACAAGACAATTCAAACCCTTTCTTTGGATGCCTCTGAATATGAACAGCTACTTGAGATCATGGAAACAGAAGGCACTTAACTCATCAGTAGATTTCCCTTTTCTTCCATATTGTGTAAAACTCTGAAAGAATCAAGCATTTCGTACAGCATAAAACTAAAGGACCTGAAATTTTATGAGCAAACAAAAGCAGGGGAACAAAAAGCAGTTTATCCAGATGCTTCCCTTTATCTATATAGGTTTAACATGCATGTGTGTATGTATTTGGCGTTCCAGCTACTCATTACTGTGGAAATCTTTTAAAATTCACTTTGTTAAGGTAATGAGCTTTTCTTATATGATTCTTACCTGATTAGGTTCATACACCATTAGTCTGTTCTGATACTGGGCTGTGTTAGTTACTCCACCTGTAATGGATTAACATGTGTTAGAGCTTTCATGAATAAGAAATAGGGTATTCCAACATAAGAATGAGATACAATTAAAGAAAAATTAGCTACTGCTGAGGATCTGTTTGCATATACCCTTGTGCTGAACCCGTGACATAATTAAGAAGCTTATTGTTGAAGCAGTTTCGTTTTCCAGAAACATTTTAGAAGCAATCCAGTTGAGAGCAAGCAACAGGTATGCCAAGATTAGCAAGAAGTCCCAGTTCCGACAAGCTGCTCTGAACTGGGTGGGGGGTGGAGATGCGTGGGGAGGGACTGGGGCCAACACAGCAACTCTGGGCCACTTATGCTGGGAATGTAGTTACATGGAAAATTCTTGTCTTGAGCTAAATGGGCAACTTTACAGCTCTAACCTGCTACCTACTAACACAGTGATATCTTGCTATTTATTTAGGAGAACCATATCTAAGGAAAGACATTACTTATCAAAAGAAATCTAGAGACAGTGCTACCCAAGAGAGTATAACGAGAGCCACAAACTCGAGTCACATAGACAACTTTAACTTTCCCAATAGCGACATTAAAAACAGTGAAATTAAACTAAATATAAAGTTTATTCCACTCAAATAACTACCTTTTCAACTTGAAATTAATATAAAAATTGAGACATGTCGTGTATTTTTCATGCTAAGTATTAAAAATCCAGTGTGTATTTGACATAGCACAGCTCAATCCAGATTAGGTGCGTTGCAAGCACGCAGCAAGCCACACGTGGCTGCCGGCCCCCACACTGGACAGCACAGTTCTGAACTCTGCAGTGCTGAGGCTGCTGTCCTCGACTGTTTGGAAGCCCTCTTGACAATGGCTTAGACCCCAAAATCTTGAGACCTTCTACTTAATCAAGAACCATTAAAATGTCATTACACATTTAGCTAAGTTTCTCATACTTCTTTCCACGTTTGTGGTATACACTGAGCCCTATAAAAGCCAGAAATAATTGATTCTACTTTCATTTTGACCACTAAGTAGAAAGACTGAAAACAATTTATAAAGCAGCAAAGAGCAAATAATACATTATCAAATGCTAGGTAATAACAGAAATATAAGAACCAACCTCCCAAATTCTATCTTTAGAAATATTGCCTCATATATAGTACTAGATACTGTTGTAAGAGACACTCTAATTTTAATGAGTATCACAAAACAGCAACTACTGTTGCAATAAATACCTAAAATTGAGCCAGATTAAAGCATTTCCTATGGACATTTTTTGAATTTAATAAATGAGTATTGTTACAATATTGTCCAAGGCAGCCTCAACATCCCCCTCAGCGTGACTAAACTTCAGACAGGTCTCTTCCTTCCTCTAGGTCCCTGACCTCCCTGTTCTTACAGCATTACTTTAGAAAACTTTTATTTATAAATCCTATCTCTGCCTCTTCAAGATGTAAATCATTTAAGAAAGTTTCTTGCAAATTTTAATCTGAGGAATATCTTTCTGAAGGTCCTGAGAGCCATCCCACTGAAGTGAAGAGAGTGCCCCTACCTCCCACTTCCTATGGAGGGTAGAAGCCTAACTTATGGTAGAGGCCAGCTGGCAAACACAAATGGTCTAGTCACAGAGAAGAACATTCACAAGCTCAGGGGTAACTGAACATGCTCAACACATCTCATTGATCAACCTTCCACCAAAAGTCCTTCAGTACTTTTCCACTGGCTCATCCCAGTGCTTAAAAACCCTCTTGCTTCTTGTTTTTCAGAGCTTATTTCAGACTGCATGTTGGTCTCTCTCCAATAGTGCAATAGTCTTGAATAGAGTTTCCCTTGTCTACTTTACTTTGTCCATTATAATTTTTGCTTTGACAGTTCAAATGCTTTGAACAGGTCACCACCATCAATTCCATGGCCAGGAGTCAAGTCAACCAGAATTCAGAGGATTAATGCATAATCCTCAACTGAGCTGGAATAATCAATCAATTCTAATGGTCACATAAAGGGGAGAGAACCTGTCCAGGTCAATCATTACTCTCTCATTCAACTCTAGTAAGGAGATTGTATCTTTCATGTAATTGACCATGGCTATTATTAACAGGAGGGTTTTAAAAAATCTCTCTGAAGCTTGCAACCACTTTTCAAGCTCAACAAAGAGCTTTTTCTATGGAGGAAATCCAAATAACAGAGAATGAGCTTCCTGGCCTCAAAAAGAAAGTCTTTTCCACATTTCTCACTGAATGTCCCATTTTAAAAATAAGGCCCTGAACAGATAGCTCAGTTGGTTAGAATGACATCTTGATTTGCCCAGGTTGTGGGTTCAATTCCTCCCCAGGGCACACAGAAGACTCAATCAATGAATGCATAAATATGTGGAACAACAAAGTCCTCAATCTCAATTGGTCTCTCGCACTCTCTCTCCCTCCCTCCCTTCCCCCTCCCCTCCCCCTTCTCTCTCTCTCTAAACTGAAAAAAATGAAAACATTTAAGAAAGCTGAAGCTGAAATGCCTACATAGAGTCAAAATGTATTTCAGAATAAATACAGAGGTATGTTTGCTTTTCCCTCCCAACCTTCCTTTTCTTATCTGATTAAAAACTGAATGTCCAATAATTCTTTCTACACCAGAATAATCAAACCTATTGAGACCTCACAAGTCTTCAGTGTTGAAATGACTGCCAAGTTCTGATCTGGGCCATAACCGCCAGATTAATGTCCAGCTCACCTGTAATCATTTCTCCAAATGAGAGGGAACAGAGGGTGAAGCTCCCACCCACTATTTCAAAACCTCTGATGGTTTATCTACTTGTTTTAGAAATATGGGACAGAATTCATATCTACTGCAGTAAACTATCTGTTTATGACACCATTTGAAAATATTTACACTACTATATGTATCAGACTCTGCCCATTATAGATTAAATGCACAACCAATGGATTAGAATGTAGCTATTACATCCTCTCTCCCAAGCAGGGCACACAGTTTATCTTTATGCTCTTCAGAATTATTATTTACTGTCTTCCACAGATGCATCAGCTGCATTATAATATAGATTTTTTAATCTGCACTCAGTAATTAGATTCCTTACCCTTACATACAAATTTTCACTCACATGACAATGTTTAGAAGTGAGATATTGTTTTACTAGTTGAGAATAAAAACAGAAGTCCTACTTGGTTATTCGGTTGATTATTTCTAGAGTGTTAAACCACAGGAGGTGCCTAAAAACCCTGGTGCTGTAACTTTTGCCAAGTCCAGATTGCAAGGAAAAACCTTAAAAATTGGTTTTATTGTGTTTCCCCTTTGAAATAATTTACAAATGAGCATGTAAATAAAAACAATTTCTTCTCAGTGCAAAAGTAAGTTTTTAAAAAAGCACCCGACTTTGCAGGCCGCACTTCTTCAGCAGCGTTACTCATTTGCCGAGCCTCAGCATCGCATTCCCTTCACATAACACTCCTCACTTTTAGATCAATCTGCTGAAATGAGATGCTCAGGATTTGCATACAGATTTGACTATACAAAAATAGATATGGAATTAATAACAGTCTCTATATGTTTTAATTTCTCCTAGACTGGAGTACCCTTGCCTGCAGCAGTATTCCTAGCTTTGAAAGTCATCAAGCTGATTTGTCTGCTCTGGGTTATGATGCCACATGCTGCTACCCTGTCCCTTGCAATCAAAGACTTGCAAAGATAGATTCCATGCCATCCAGTATATTTTATAGATTGGCAGTTTTGATCTCCCTCCCCCACCCCTGGGGGAGATAATCTGCATCTTAACAGCTTTCTATAGATACATCTGTCATTAAATATGCCGTTTTGTATCAGCATCCATTTTGAAAGCCAAGTTTTCCTTAACTTTGAAGTGCCACAAAGTTAAGACTTTCAGCCAAAATTGAAAATGGACAACCCTGTCTTATACTTCTGCACTGTGACTTAAAGATATATTGCAGGTTCCCCCAAAGTCAAATAAGTCTTTAAAAACTGCCAGAAGGAATGAAAAGTCGCCACCATGCTACCAGCAGTGAGCAATGCTTTCTATCATCAAGACAAGAGTAAAGCATTTTTCTTAAGCTTCCCTGTTCAACTCCCCACAAATGTTGTGACAAATGGATGAATGCGTGCAGGAGAGAGGATGACAGGTGACTGCCAAACAAGTGATCTTTGTCTCCAGCACTGAGAATTCACCAGCTCCCAAAACTCACTCTGTTCAAGAGCAACTGGTCAATGCTGACGGTGCCTATAAAATAGCGTGTATAGTAAAAACATCTTTCAATATATGTCGATCAGGGTAGGCCAAGTCTGGGAGCCCTGCTAATTTTTTTTCAAGGACAGAAAATATCTCTGTTGGTGAAGCCCTACACTAGCACAGTACTAGTACCCTTGCCAGGGTGAGCAAGATGCGGAGAACTGAATGTGCCCATGCTCTTAGGGAAGGTGCTCCAGGCTGGAACTCTGCCAGGCTGTCAGGGTTGGGGACAAAATCTCGAGGTCTCTGCAAGAGCCCTGGAGGCCTGCAGTGCTCAGCTTCACGCTAGTGGGGGCGGGGGCTGGGGGTGAGGGGAGCTTCTGGACAGGCTGTGGCATCAGCAGACTCCTTTACGACTCTGTCCTTGGGGGAATCATGTAACACAGCCAAACTTGGGTTCCTTATAATCAACATGGAGAGGATGAAGTCTCTCTCGTTGATTTCTGATGAACTACACAGTGCACGCACGGTCAGAGGCAATCTACAGAGGGAAGTTTACTACAATACTGTACTCGTTTGTTTATGGAAATGTCTTACCATTTCCATACAAGGTATAAATGAATATGTATGGAATATTGAAAAGTGTGGAATACTGAGTTAATAATGAGTGAGTTCTGTAGTCTGAAATAGGTTTTTTATAACTTTGTTTTTTCTAATAACCAGAGTTACTGACTGGCTGATTAGGATATCAAGGCTTTTTCCTTTTTCAGTAGTATAAGCATCTCCTTTGTAAACTTGCTCCAATTCTCAAAAGACTAAAACTTCACATTTACAA